TTGGCATCCCGGCAAAGCAACCCTCGGAGCTGGGCAGTCCAGGAAGGAGCACGGCACTTTCAGTCCCCAGGCTCCCTGTCACTCGAGCCTGCCGAAATATTTCCCGGGCTCAGGCCTGCAGCGAAGGCAGGAAATCTCATCCCAGGCGAGGGCCGCAGAGGATGGGCAGTGGCAGGTGGACAGACGGGAGAGCGAGCCAACTAGAGCATCGGCGGGGCGGAGAGCAGAGGCTCAGGGGAGAAGGGCCAGACGGTTGTCTGAGTTGCTGTCCGGATTTTGATGCTGTGGTTCCAGGATACGTTCTTTGCCAGGCTGTTGCTTCGGCCGAGAGGCTGAGGACATTCGGGACATGACGGATGGGAAAGGGCAGGTTATCAGAGACTGGTGGGCTTCCTGAGCCGGTGCCCCCCACTTCTTCTGCCGCCCTGTCCCCACCTGCTGTCAGGGCACAGCAGAGAGCAGAGCGTGAAGGCCCAATACCTGCAGAAGACCCTGATGGCTGTGTACACCTTGCTCAGGGACTTGCAAAAGGGACTCCCTGTGCTGCTTTTTCTCCGTAGCAGGAGGTCTTGGGCTATCTGCCGCAGCTTCCTCCCTTCCCCAGCATGGCTCTCCTCCAGTTTGGTGTCGTGGTTAAGTGCGCGGACTCTAATCTGGGAGAACCGGGTTTGATTCCCCACTCCTCCTCCACTTGCACCTGGCTGGATGACCTTGGGCAAGCTGTAGTTCTGATAAGAGCTGTCCTTGAAAAAGAGCAGTTTCTCTCAGAGCTCTCTCAGCCCCACCTCCCTCACAGGGTGTATGTTGTGGGGAGGGGAAGGGAAAGGAGTTTGTAAACTGCTCTGAGACTCCCTTGGGGTACTGAAGGGCAGGGTATAAATCCAATCTCTTCTTCCTCTAGGAAAGGTTTATGGACATTTATGCCTGAGGGAGGGGTTTTGGGGGGAAGCAGAGTGGCGGCCCAACCTTTGTGCCGAGCTCAGGTGGTGTGTTTTGCTCTTCCTCCTTTAGCAAACAAATTGCAACGTGTTCTCTCACTGGGCTGTCTTCCCTGGACGTGCACAAAAATGATGCGAGGAACCTGATTTACTCACCTGTAAGCCCTACTCCCAAGTCAATGTGCAGCCTAAGGTCTGCTCGGTCTCCAAAGTAGCACTTCAGAATATACTTTAATGCTGCACCAAAAAGCAGAAGAGATGTTTTTAAGCAGAAAGGTCGACTTGCAAACATTCTGTCCCCCCGTATCACTTGCAAAAAAAAAAAAATGCCTTCTATCATCTGCTTTGCCGTTTCAGTTCTTTTCTGGTCTTCCTCCTGTGCTTGGTGGGCTTCTAACCAGAGTTATTAGAGGAATGAACTGTGGAGTGTAAAATGGCGACACGTCCACGCTGGATGTGGCCATTTGGGCAGGCAAGAGCAAAGGCAGGTGGCTGTTTTCAGACAGGCAGACCTTTCCCACGGTGTTTGGCGCACCGAATCGGTTCTGCCGATGTCTCCGTGTGGGTCCCCAGCACAGCTTGTCTTTCCAGGCCTTTGGGAAATGGGTTGAATGAACACCATTTTGTTCATTTGGATCTGGGCTTGTGTAATACGTAAGATTTTAATAATGTGTCAGAATCTATGGAAAGGACTGACTTGCCCTGTCTCCAGAAGCTGCTCATCCAGTTCAAACTCTGGCCAGGGTGGGCTGACCATCGAGCTGACCAGGAAAGTTCCTGGTGGGTTCCTGGCTGCCGGCAGCAAGAGGACGCGAGACCGCTACAGCTTTGGTGGTCCCGCTGCAGCCACGCAGCTCTGAGCTGGGCTGCAGGGGCCTCACCGCGCATTCTCCTTTGCAACGTGCCAGTTCTCTCTCTTACAAAACGGGGAGGCACTGGGACTTGGGAAGTGGCCCACGTTTCCCACCTCCTGCTCCTCCCCTGCCTGCCGTCTTTGACTTTGTCTCGTCACCCATTGCGCCGGGGAGCTCCACTCAGCTTGGGGTTGCCAACCTCCAGGAATGGCCTGGGGACCTCCTGGAATCACAACTCCTCTCCAGACTACAGATACCGGTTTCCCAGGAGAAAGCGGCTGACTTGATAGCTCTACACTCTGCTGAGCCCATCCTGCCATACCCAAGCCCTCTCTCCCCAAATCCCCGGGAATTTCCAGACCTGGAGCTGGCCACCCTAACCCGGCTGCTGTCTCCCCTTTGCCAGCTTTGCCAGTTTCTTAGAAGAAACAAACAAACAAAAAAGGAGCGGAACCACCATACAAGAAATGGTGCAAAACACAAGAGACCGCTGGCTGAAATCACTTAAAGTGAACAATATATATATAATTATATAAAAAGAATATTTAATGCCGAGTTCACTATCAGTATAACTGGGTGAAACCTAAGTATTCTTACAAGGAACAACACTGATGCAGAAGAATAAAGTCACAAAGGTACAAAAATTTCAATGTGTCTCACTCCTGTTGTATGATCCTTTGCGACTGATTACACTGATGTCTGTATGTGTTACTACTACTGAGATTGAGCCCCACGATAGCCTTTTGGCTTTGAAAAAGGATTATTCGAAACGTGGCAGCTTGCATCCGGACTACGTGTCGTCGTTTATAGCTTATGGACTTCAAGATTATTTGGGATCCTCCTGGAACTATATGAGTCAACTCCATGATGAATGCATGTCAAATTGGACTATGAAATTATAATACAATGAAATTTTTGAGACTGCCAGTTTGGTGCAGTGGTTAAGTGTGCGGACTCTAATCTGGGAGAACTGGGTTTGATTCCCCACTCCTCCACTTGCACTTGCTGATGTGACCTTGGGTCAGTCACAAGCTCTGGCACAGCTGTCCTTGAAAAAGAGCAGTTTGTGTCAGAGCTCTCTCAGCCCCACCTAACTCACAGGGTGTCTGTTGTGGGGAGGGGAAGGGAAAGGAGTTTGTAAGCCGCTCTGAGACTCCAAGTGAAGGGCGGGGTATAAATCCAATCTCTTCTTCCTCTTCTTCTACCTTTGGGACTTTATTCTTCTGCATTAGTGTTGTTCCTTGTAAGTTCCTTAGTCAGACCTGGGCTCCTGTTGAGACCGAGCACCAAGGGTGTCTTCTGTGCAGCGCTTCCAGCATAGCTGAGTGAAAGGAAAGCCTTGGGCGCTTCCTTTGCACCTGATTCCAGAGGTCCGCATGGGCGTGGTGTCTGCTAGGGGGGACCTGCCAAAAGGATAAAGTTGCCAGCTCTGGGTTGAGAAATACCTGGAGGTTTGGGGCGTGGAGCCGGAGAAGAGACCCAAACCCCAGCTTCTTCATTGCCTACGTGACATGTTCAACGTAGACCAGGGGCCTTCAAGTCTAGCTTTTAGCATGGACGTGTGAAAGAATGTGGGTTATAAAGTTTGTTCAGGCCATCTGGCCTCACCATTTGGCTTTGCAGCGGGAAATAAGGCACAGCCTGTCATCAGAATGTAATCACAGGAGAAGGCATGTGAATTTAGAAAGCAATATTTTCTATACTTCACTGAGGCATAATACCATAGAGTCCATCTTCCAAAGCGGCCGTTTTCTCGGGGGGGGGGGGGGTGCTCTATCCTGGAGACCAGTTGTAGTACCGGGAGATCTCCAGCCGCCACCTGGAGGTTGGCGGCCCTCCCAGAGGATGGCACGGGGTGGCAAAATTCCCCACCCACATAGCTCGTGTGAAAATGAAAGAAGGAAAGAGCCAGCTGTGTATCAGTACTCTGAGCGGGGCAAGACTCTGGGAGGCAGAGTTCTTTCGGAGGCAGAGGCTCTTCCGCAGTGATGCCTCCATGCACCATAAGTGAGGGGCGCATCACTTCAGCAGATGTGGCTCTCCATCTCTTGCAGGGGGAAGAAAGCCTTTGATCTGATCCTTGGAGCACCGAGGCAGGGTGGAGCCCGTGGGCAGAAATACAAAGCCGATCTAGCTTTAAAGACTTTGTGCTGAACCTCAACCAGATGGGCAAATCCTGGCATCCATTCCAGCTTCAACAGTTCTTTAGGTAGAAATCAAAATGAAAACAGGCTCAGGATTGGGGATGGAGATTCCACGTCCTTAAAAACCAACCGACAGCCTCCTCTGAACTAGAGATGTAAAATTTCCGGAAATTTTGAAGCTCGGGAAAAAAACTCTTTTTTTTCTGGGGGGAAAGGACATTTTCGGAAAAATGGAAAAAACCCGTTACATTAGCACTTTTTTTCTTTTCCAGATTGAAAGATTCTGTTACTTTAGGAACATAAAATATGACTATGGACATTTTTACTCGGCATGAAATCATCACAACGAGCATATTAAAAATATAGTGTATCCAAACAATTATTACAAAGAGAATACTCACCCACATGCAAAAACAAAACTGAAAGCTCCTAAAGAAAGAAATGCATCTTGTTCTTGCATTGGAGAGTTCAGTTTGTAACCTAGAACTTGCTTGTCCTCAGTGCACAGAAATTAGATCAATCTGATAAACTACATATTTTTTAGAAATGATTTGGAAAATATTTGAACACCTTGTCTTAAAACATTTTATTCATCATGTTAAAATAAAACGTTCCATAATCAATATTTTTGTCTTTTCTTTTTTTCAATTTTTCCAATTTTTCGGGAAAAAACAAAAAAGGCTTCAGGAAAAAACCGGAAAGAAACCATTTCCCCCCCGAATTTCTCCGGTTTTCCCCCGGGCCTTCACATCTCTACTCTGAACCTCATTCTTGTGGGTAGGACCTAATCAAAGCAATTGGGGGGGGGCATAGAAAGAGCCCCTCTTTGGCTTGAGGGGGGGCCTCGAGGCCGGCTCTGTCCCCAGTGGGAAGGGAGGCTGCCTCGGGAGGGGAGACGGCCCCCCACGCTGCCGGTGCCGTGCAGCATCAGAAGCCCCGGGTGGAGGAGCGCACTGTTCTCAGGGTTTCGGGAGGTGGTGGGCTACGCTTAGAACTGTGCAATACTTGAATCGGAGGGGGGTGGGTTGTGAAGAGGAAGGCGGGAGGGGCGGTGCTTGTACAGAATGGCGCGTGTATGTGTTTGCAAAGATGTTTTACAGAGAGGAGAATAATAGAAATTTAAACAAAAAGAACCATAACCCCCCCACCCTCCACCACCACCCCTTCCCCTGGTGTTTGTGGGTTTCTGTGGCCATTCCCGAGAAATGGCGATGTGGTAGGAGGGTTTTGTCCCGTCCCCCTTCGGTTTTCTTTTGGCATGCGCTCCCTTCTCCCTCGCTGTTTCCTGCTTTCTCTAAATGTACTGTATGTTTGACCTGTGGAAGATGTAAACATTATGATTCAGGTTACGTCTGTTCTTAACTCTGTATCTGTGTAATAAAGAAAATTTAATATCACCCACCAGGATTAATTTCCTTGGCTTCCTCGTCCTTCTGCCATGTCCATCTTTTTGCACAGACGCAAGAGTGACGGGGCTGTGGGGTGCTGGATGGACACCCAGCTGCTTGGAAGACGGCCACAACGTGGGAAGGGGCCACGGCTCACAGGCGGGCACTCTGCTTTCCCTGCAGAAGGTCCTGGGTTCAGGTCCTGACATTTCCAGTTGCAAGTGGAATTGCCAGCTCTGGGTTGGGAAATACCTGGAGCTTTGTAGGGGTGGGGGTCTGAGGAGGGTGAAGTTTGAGATCATCTGGAATACCAGAAGATCTCCAGCTGCCACCTGGAGTTTGGCAACCCTAGTTGCAAGGGTCATGGGTGGTGGGAGAGACTGTCCTCTGTGTGAAACCCCTGGGCAGGGTGGAAGGGCTGCTTGACTTGCATGCAGAAGGTCCCAGGTTCAAACGTGTTGAAGCCCAGCAGTCATCTTTGACGGCCACTGCCGGTCCGTGCGGGGAATGCTGAGACAGATGGCCCAGAGGTCTGACTCAGCAGAAGGGAGCATCAAATGCCAAAAAGGGCTCCATCCTTCCCGAGAGAAAGTGCAGCCCCCAGCGGGCCCTGGTCTGTCATTTCTCAGCACCTAAAAATGTAGCGATTGTTATTTGTTTATTAAAACACGTACGTCCTGATTTCCTTAAGGGAGGCCTTAGTTCGAGGCCATTGCGAAAGGAGCTGGTGAAAACAATGAAGCCTCTGGTTCAAACCTGACCTCTGCCACAAATTCTCTTGCAAGGCTTTCCTTCCTGCCTCTCTTTGGTAACAGGGAACTTTGGGTCCTGGCCAGCCTTCCATGGCTGTCCTAAGGATTACAGTCAGATAATGTATACTAAGTGGTTTCAGCACTATAAATGTGAAATATTTTTATATTGATGGAGAGAAGGCGCCATGGCTCAGTGGAAGATCCTCTGCTTGGCATGCCAAAGGTTCCAGGTTCAGTCCCCGGCATCTCCAGTTAAAGAGGACCAGGCAGGAGGTGATGGGAAAGACCTTTCTCTGCCCGAGACCCTGGAGAGCAATTGCCGGTCCGCGTAGACAGCACTGCCCTTGGTGGACTGGAGGTCTGGTTCAGAATAAGGCAGGTTCTTGTGTGTTCATGTGTGATTGATCCTGAAGGGTTTACGGAATTACCAAGCAACTTGCGACCGCAGAGCAAAAGCCACGGAGCAGGGTTTGGACCTTCGGGCTGTGATTTACTGTGCCAGGGGTCCTCAGAAACAGCTACTCTGGCTTGAGGAAGGGGCATTTCTCTACCATTACCCAACCCACCCTTTGTGATCTGCAGAGCAGGCCCCATCAGTGACTCAAGGGGAGGGTTCCATAGACACCTTCCAGCCTTCTCTGGCACGTCAACAGCATACACACGGACACACACACACAAAACCAACTCCTACTGAATTAGACCATTGGTCCATCAAGGTCGGTATTGTCTACTTGCAGGGGCCCTCAGGGTCTCAAGTGCCTGGTCCTTTTAATTGGAGACGCTGTAGCTACAGTGGGGCTCTTGGGGGGCTGTGCCCCCTTTCTTAAAGGCACAGCCCCACAAGATTTTCTCCTGTAAATGCTTTTTTCAGTAATTTTAAAACATTTTTAAAAGGTGTGCACTCCTTTAAGCAGAGTGGGGTGCTGTGGTTGACTAATTCCGGCACTGAGCAAGGGGGATGGAGTAGGTGACCTCTAGGATCCCTAAGAAACTGGTCTCTTTTAAGAGAGTTTTTCTGCCTCAGTGTTAGCTTTCTTGGCTATAGAAATCATCACCCCACCTGCTGGCTTGTTATCAGAATTGTTGCTTAGGCTGGCAGAAGTGATTAACTTGCAGGAGCTGAGAACTGTCATCTAAAGTGGTTGACAGCTTGCAGTTTAGAGATCTATCCTGGTAACAGCTTTCTATTGGCTAAAGAGCCAGTTTGGTGTAGTGGTTAAGTGTGCGGACTCTAATCTGGGAGAACCGGGTTTGATTCCCCACTCCTCCACTTGCACCTGCTGATGTGACCTTGGGTCAATCACAAGCTCTGGCACAGCTGTCCTTGAAAAAGAGCAGTTTGTGTCAGAGTTCTCTCAGCCCCACCCACCTCACAGGGTGTCTGTTGTGGGGAGGGGAAGGGAGTATTGTCTACTTGCAGGGGCCCTCAGGGTCTCAAGTGCAAGTCGTTTACATCACCTCCTGCCTGGTCCTTTTAATTGGAGACGCTGTAGCTACAGTGGGGCTCTTGGGGGCTGTGCCCCCTTTCTTAAAGGCCACAGCCCCACAAGATTTTCTCCTGTAAATGCTTTTTTCAGTAATTTTAAAACATTTTTAAAAGGTGTGCACTCCTTTAAGCAGAGTGGGGTGCTGTGGTTGACTAATTCCGGCACTGAGCAAGGGGGATGGAGTAGGTGACCTCTAGGATCCCTAAGAAACTGGTCTCTTTTAAGAGAGTTTTTCTGCCTCAGTGTTAGCTTTCTTGGCTATAGAAATCATCACCCCACCTGCTGGCTTGTTATCAGAATTGTTGCTTAGGCTGGCAGAAGTGATTAACTTGCAGGAGCTGAGAACTGTCATCTAAAGTGGTTGACAGCTTGCAGTTTAGAGATCTATCCTGGTAA